TCTAAGACCATGATAACCTTTTATCCCATGTCTGAAGGCAACTGGACATGGATGCTCATGAAACCATGAGTCCTAACAGAAAGTATTGGTCAAAACCCAGAAGAATCATTATCTTGTCTTCCTAATTTTGTAACAAGCAAAAGAAAAAGACAGACTTGTAAAGCAACAGGACTGCTGATGCAGCAAAATGCAGGTGTGATCCTAACACACAATGGCCTGAAGGGCTAGTTAGCATACAGGAGTGGTAGTGCATACTAGCCCCAGAGTACAAGCTATGGGGACTCACAGTACACAACCTGGTTGCTAGCCCTTGTGAGACTGCTGCTCCACTGTTTTTGTGGCTTGCTAACAGCCAGACTGAGAGACCACATGTTTGCTAGCAGGTATTATCCTCATGCCTTTATTTTCCATATCTCTGTGTAGATATGCCCTTAAGCTCTGTGGCTTCTCTCACAGATCTAGTGCACAGGGCCAAAAATATGGGAATTCAAAGTAATTATGGAAGTTATTTAAAGGTTAAGTGGTAACATCAGGGTGGTTCATGGGTTCAGACAGGCTTAAAATAAGGCATTAAACGGTATCTGGAGACCTTTCACTAGAAAGCAATAGCCAAATCGTAATAAGATCCCAGCTTCTATTAAAGTGCCCAGAACTGAAGCCTCTAAGGAAACCCACAGCTTAACAGACACTGGATGCAGACTGGAGGCCAATCTGGGAGATCCAGTTGTAGGATTGAGGTCCTCAGCAATGGGGACAATTTCTTGGAGGGGCTCAACACTCAGGAGCTCCCACTGCTCTGAAAACCCAGCCCTGAGCCTGTAGCCCCTTTCTTGATGGAGACGTGCTTGCTAAGGCCACCCAGTCACTAGGAAAGCTTGGCAGTGAGAAAAGGAAGGAGGGGTTCCTGCAAAACACAAGTGCCCTTGATAAATGGCATTGCATTTGCAAGGGGGCATCCTCCACAGTCAGATGATCCTGAGTTTTCCTGGGTAACGCGCTTGGCATTTGGCAAAGGGAGGCGAAGAACATGAGAGTCTTCTAGTCAAATGAAGGGAATCTCTCTCCTTTTCCTTTCCAGTCCCCTCTCCTTTCCAGGGGAGAGGACAGTGGCAGAGGTGGGATGAATGAGGGGTGGCCAGGGGAGGAGGAGGGCATGAGGTGTAATGGAAACAGAGAAGTAGGAGCATAAGAGATGATAGAAGGAGCCATCGGGGTAGTAGAAAATGGAACAGTGAATGCAAGAGAGTTGTTTCAGGCGGCAACGGGCAGAGCGAAGGAGGTCTTTCACCCCCAGGGTGGACTCTACAAGGCATGTGAAGGTCCCTTGCCTTGCAGTCACTTTAATCTCATCAGGGAACCTGCCCAATATACAAAGCTATAGTTAGAGCAAAACAAATGACAGATACTTTGGGTTGATACCTAAGTAAAAAAGAAACAAAAGACAAAAGAAGGCGGGGAGGAGGGGAGGGAATGGTCAAGGCTGAATTGAAACCAAGTATTTGTGGGGGGAGGGGTTCAGTTAAACTTAACCACTCCCCCTCCTCCAAATTTAATTTCCAGTCAAAAAAAAAAAAAAAAAAAGGGGTTACTTTATCCAAAATAAACTATGCTGCTGTGTTTTCATGTTTTGTATTCCATTTTCACCTTTAGTTCAAATATTTTTTTTTTCAACAAGGAAGTGCCATTTTGGAACAATGCAAGAAAGAATTTTTGTTTGGTTTGTTTTCATTTAGTGTCAAACACTCGTGGTATTTCCACAATGAAACCATTCATTTAAAAGTGACAAAACAACAGTTTTCAACATTAAAAAAAAAAAAAAAAAAATTCAATCCCTCCATTGTCATCTATCACTTGGTCATCATTATTCAAAACAGTGCCCCTAGAGAAAGTGAACACCAGAACTGGTAAAATGTGTGCGCGGGTGCATGGGTGGGAAGACGAGAGGGCCAGTAGAAAACGTTTTTCATGCGCAATTCATCATTATATTTTGCCAACAAACTGTATTGGTGCCAGCAAGCCCATAGTTGAGAGATGGGAAAAAAAAAAAATGCTGTGGTTCACTTTTTGAATAATCCACCTGCGAGCTGTAAAAATACAATAGCTTTTCAAAATTTAAATCTGAAGCTGAAGATTCTCTTTATCCCTTAGATAAAGTCCTTGATCAAAAATTAATGTTACCCAGGTTGATACCTTTCAAAGGACAGACTACAAAGTAAAATGTAGGTACTTGGGAAACGCATTTCCTCCATTGTACTTTTTTTTTTTTTTTTTAACAGCAAAAACTCTGTTCAGCAGTGTTTTAGGGTTTTATGGAGAAACACATTTTATTTTCTAATTTTGGCTAAAAATTACAAATATTTAGTTTTTAGGTGTTTGGAATGAGCCTCCAATTTTGAAGGAGATGGGCTTTTTCCATGCATCTTTTCTCTTCCTCCTGTTTTATTTTGGCTAGATCCAATCTGCACTGGGTATCTTGAGGCCATCACTATGACTGGTTGCCTAGATGCATTTGAGTGTAAATATCTGAAAGAAAATTAGTGGGGAAGCACAGCTGGAACCTGAAGATTATTCCATATTCAAGAAGCAGCTTTCCATTTCAAGCATTTTTAGAATGGGTATAAGTTGTATAAAGATAATATACATCAAGTATAAAACTAAGAAAGTAGCGTGGTATATAACATGGTATATATAAAGAGGATGAAGAACCTCTTCCAAAAACCAACATCAATCTTAGCTGGAAAGGATTCAAATATTAAACAGTTACAACCATTTCCAAAACGTTGCATCTGAAACCTTGCAAAGAACAATGTTTCCAACTATTTCGTTGATCTAATAAAAGATATCATATTCGCCCAACGAACCGTGTCAACCATTTCCAAAAAAACACTCTCAGAGAACTAGCTATGCATTCCATACCATCCCTGATTTCAAAGTTACTGTCATTAAATTGCTACAACTGAGAAATGAATGATATTCCAATACATTGATATTGAGATAAGAAACTATCGGTAGCTGTAGCATTATGCAACTCAAGGGACTGCCTGTGGGTCAAAACAGCTAGCGGCATACAGCTGACTTGGTGGAGGTATCTGTTCAGGGCCTTTATGTGTAGGCAATTTGGAAAGAATAAGAACCAGAGCAGAATGTGTAAGCTCACATGTATGCCAACTGAAGGTGCCTCCTAGAGCTGAGCATAATATCATCTCTTGGTGTCTTGGACATTGAAAAATGTTGTAATAATCATTTGTTAAAGCCATCTATTAACCCTTTATGAATTATTTTAAAACCCACCATTAATATACAGAGTATGATTAAGTGGCTACACTACATAAGGCTCATCAGATGGCTAGGCAAATAAACGAGAAATGTGCTGGAAGTGTGTGGGAGAGGGAAATCAGCTAAAATACATATAATGTAATAGAAGTCTGGGCTTCTAACGTAGCTCATTATCTTAACCTTCATCAAACAAGGATAGTAGTACTGCTAAAAATCTTTTATCACCATTTAGTACTGATAAAATCTATGGCAGAGTCATGCTTCTTAGAAATGTTATTGAGACAGTCAAATTGAGAAGGGCTCGGGGAAGAAAAGCAATATGTTGGAACCCTGCTGTCTTGCTTTCTGGTCTTTTACGTAGCACCTCTAGCATCGGAAAATCCTCCAAACACATGCAAGAAGACCAGCTCCTTCTGCAGTGGTTTAAAAATGGGCTGTCCTGCTTTTCTACCCTTTGGCATCTGGTCAAAATAGGTATGGCCATGCTTATACCCATATAGGTATGGCAGGAGAAGGACTAGTAGATTTCTAATGAAACCACTTCTCATTCAGTGATGAAGGGGGGACTCTCTCATCTCATTGCCCTCCTTGCACTGTTCCAGCAAGGGGCTTTGGAAAACCCTGTCCTTTGCTACTCTGTCTAGCAGCATTAAGGGTGCTGCTTCTCAAGCAAATGTTAATTTGCAATAGCTTTCTGTGAACACTGACGGTACAGGAGATGCAATATAAATTACTTGCTTGTAAAACCTAGATCGATTGCTAGAGGTGAGAATTTCAAAAGCCCAAACAAGCATCTCAAGTTGCATATATCCCCCACTCCCATCCCCTTTCTCCATTCCCCCATACAACTGCATTCTCCTAGGCCACTTCCTCTGATCCCTTCTTGGCTTCTTTCATATAGAAAGAGGCTTGTGATTTCCTGTATTTGTGGAGGTGGGGGGTTGTGATTTCTTAATCTGTGCTCACTTCTCTGACAAATATTTAACTTCATTGATCTAGCTATTTTGGGGACATATTAAAATGTGTATATTGCATTTTTGCTTTAAAAAAGGAAAAACTCAAACGTCCATGGTGCTGCATTATGCAGTACAGTTTATCCAAAAAAAAAAAAAATCTGAGAAAAATGAATCATCAAATTTCATCGCTGTTGTTAAAGTTACATATTCAACCTGGGAATATGATCGTCATTAAAAAGGCAATTTTACTGGCAATTACCACACGGTGGAGTCCGGAATAGTGTGCTTGTTAGCAAATGCTGACATTTTAGCAGCAATCACTGTAATAGGTCAAAAGTATCAAGAAATCAGGAGAATTAGTATTTGTGGGGGGTTAAGGACTGTGCTAAGGAAACATATGAACATTAGTGAAGTCAATGGCAAAACTTCCACTGATCTCAAAGGCAGTTGGAGCAGACCCTAACTTAATAAATCTCTGGTGACACAATGCCCTTGATTTCTTTGCCCAATTTTGCAATTTCTCCTTGGGTCACCTTCAGGGTGATGAGTCGGAGGGATTACTCGCATAGCTAAAAGATGCCAAAATGGGCTCGGTGTCTTGCTTCTAAACTGTGTTTCGTGAACATGCATGCTTGTACATGAACGTGTGTGTTTGTAATTTGCATGGGACTGGCGACTTCCCGACTATTACTTAACCACATTCATATCATGCCACATAGCAGAGGAGGCAAATAAAGTCTGCTCAGAGCTTTCGGAGCCATTACTTACAGTAGACATCCACTCTTATTGACTTTATAGCTGGCGAACCCAAGCCATTTTCTGCCTTACAGTAGTAGCGGCCTCCTTGATGGCGCTGGATATTGGTAATCCTCAGAGTTTCGTTGAAGACACTTGAGTCTTGAAATCTGTCAGAGGCACTTCCTGCTGTTTTGGTCCACCTGATCTGAGCAAGCATCAAAAAAGAGTTGTTACTTTAGTTCGGTTGGTTGTAAAAGATGCACACAGTATAACTAAATACAGGGGGATTCCTTATACCAGCCAATGTCCTGAGAGAACATGTTGTACTGCCGATATGGGACTTCCTTCTACATCAAATTAAGTGTACCCACACATAATCAGACACTGCACCATAGTACATCGCAACCATATTCCTTTAGCTACACTATATTTGCAGTAACCAATTACCTGAGATGGAAATAATTCTCAAGAATATAAATGTCAGCAGCAAGGATGTATGTCTGTAGTGACTCAACCAACCATCACTAACGCATCCGTTTAAATCGCTGCAGAAAAATCCTCTGAGCAAAAATACGCAGAGCACATCAGGATTCACTCTTTGCTCTTCCTTTTAAAATGACAGCAATCTATTTTTAAAGTTTGACCTAGGTTTACACACAAAATCATCTCAATGAGCCAACAGTGGTAGCATGTAATGGCCTAAACGTTAAGTGATGCTAAGCTCATACTGAAGTCAGAGTTACGAAAATGCCACGGACCAAATTTCTATTAGGAAACATATTAAAATTAATACCGGTTGGGTGTGCATGTGCATGTGCTTTTCTTTTTCTTTTATCCAAATAGCTTCTTGCAATTTCAAGCAGCTTTGTACTTTTTTCTTTAATGGTTTAACCTTTTTTTTCTTTTACAATAATTATAAGCTCCTTTACTCCAATAAATGTTTTCCAAAAATGTGCAAACTTTCCAGAGTGAACATTTCTAGAAAAAAAAAGAAGTGACAATACAGTCGGGATGTCTAAAACTCTGTCTCTCACAAACAATGGCATTCTCTGAAACAGCTGTGCAAAAGGGAATTAGCTCTGGTAGTGAAATAAGCAGCCACTATGGTATCATTCAGTTAAAAATTGATATCATTGGATGAAAGCTGTGTTGAAAAATATCAAAGCAATTTGAAAGAGCTAAACTTTACAGTGAAAAAAATGGACATAGTGTGGGAAACGCGTCCCATGCTGTCACTCAGGTTTGTCATCACCCGACTCCACTAACTTCACAGAAATATTTCACTCCTAGGACTGTTGAGAGCTGCCCCAGCCACATGTGCATAACTTTCCCACCTCATGTTCAACAGAGATGCAAAGTCTATGTTGGACTTGCCAACAGAAACATGCAGCTTTTTGCTGAACACAGACCTCAGACAAAAATGCCTTTGGGGAAAAAAAATAAAAAAGGTCTCAAATAGTTTTCTCCCTCACTGAGTCTCCAGCTACCTCTCTGTGGCTGTTAAAGGGAATCCTTTTTCAACTAACCTCATATTGAAAAAAAAATAAAGTACTGTCCTTGCAATAGTGTCCTTGTCCTCATGCTTTACCTGTGGCAAGTCAGAGGGTGCTTTTGATGTTTCTGGCATTATGCCTGGTAGTTGCATGTGAAGACTTCCTCCCAAAGATTAGAAAATAGGTTAGGCAAACACCTGTCTAGGATGATTTTGACAGGGATGATTTTACTTTCAGCATAAGGTTTAACTAGAATCTAGATGACCTCCAGAGGGACCTACTTTCCTACTATTCTTAGGGACAGGAGCAATGCATTTAGCATGGTAATGAAGACACTGCAAACATCTAAGAACAACGTCCTGCTGGGAGCAATGCTAATACGATTACAGTTTGTTTGCTGGAAAAACCTGGAAAGGTGGCCAGCTTGTATTGACCACATAAAACTGAAGGTCCCCATCTGCACCCTGAAGGATCCTGAGTATGAGCAGAACAGGGCTGCTGTTATTCATGTTACGGGATTGCCCAGAGGGTCAACCAAGACTGGGGATTTATCAGGCTCTTGGCCTGTGGGTTTTATAAACTATACAGAGAGAGATGAGCATGAGCCTATAGTCAATGTTAAAAGCAAGGGGGAGTAGTGGATACACTGCAGGGTAGGCCTAGGATGCAGAGTGACCTAGACAAATTGGAGGATTGGGACAAAAGCAATCTCATGAGGTTCAGCAAGGACAAGTGCAAAGTCCTGCACGTAGGACGGAGCAATCCCCTGCACCGGTGCAGGCTGGGGGTGACGGGCTGGGCAGCAGCTTTGCAGAAAAGGACCTGGGGGTGACAGTGGACAATATGCTGAATAGGAGCCAGTGGTGTGCCCTTGGTGCCAAGAAAACTAACGGCATCCTGGGCTCCTTGGTAGAAGTGGTGCCAGCAGATGGAGGGAATGATTATTCCCCTCTATTTAGCACTGAAAGGCTACATCTGGAGTCCAGTGTCCACTACAGAAAGGATGTGGACACATTGGAGAGAGTCCAGTGGGCGGCAATGAAAATGGGTGAGGGACTGGGGGACTTGCGAGGAGAGGCTGAGGGAAATGGGCTGATTTAGTCTAGACAAGAGGAGACTGAGGGGGATTGAATAGCAGCCTTCAACTCCCTGCAGGGGGGTTCAAAAGAGGATGGAGCTGGACTGAGACCAGAAAGAAATGCCCTGCAGATGGATATAAACTCATGTATTTTCCCAATACATCAGGACCAAAAAGGCCAGTTGTGCACTGAGTTGGGTGAGAAGTTTTCCCTTTCCATGATCCTGAGGTTTCAGATTTGTTCCTACTCCTCATCAAGATGAACCTGAGAAACATTGCAGCTATTTGCATGAATAAGGGTGACCTATTCCAAAATTTCAGAGAGTGGGACATGCACCAATTACACAAGAGACTGAGGTTTAAGGGTGCTCTCTGCATGCGTGATTCAAGCCAGGGGCTTGATTCAAAGTCCCTGGCTCCAGGCAAGTGGCCAGGCAGTTGGTTATTCTGGAAGGCATCTCTCTTTCCAACCAGAAATTTTGTTCTGGACCTGAGCATCCTTCCCCAGGGAAAGTTCAGAGAAACCTTCCCCAATGAAGTTCAGTCCACAGAGGTGCAAGGAAGTTTGTTCTCGACTTGGGTGAGAGGGAAATATTGAGTCACAAAATTTCGGGTTTACACTCTGGACGCTGGAGTTGCAGCCAGGGCAAGAACATTGTTAAAACTGTCAAGAAGCTTTCAAAATGCTCTCTCTCCTGTAGGGTCCATGGGTTATTCACAATGCATGATGGTGCAGCGTGTGGGTTCACACAGCACCTTTTCTAGCCGACCAACACAACTCACATGTGGTTTTTCCACTGAAAGAGTTTAGCATATTTGCTTAATTCTTATCTAGCGTACTCTATGTGCGGGAGCGATGCCATTAGCTCAGCTATATTTACCAATCTCAATCTGTCTATATTTCTATTATAAACCCCTGGCTTCAGGGCATTTTAAATCGGCCATAAAAATGTGCTGCAGCATAATTTTGGTACATGAAGGCAGCTCTAGCTTTTTGCAAAATTTCAATTTCCTCATCTCTCTTGTTTTAAAACAAATATTGTTTTAGCTTTAAGGTAATCACTGAATCTTTTACATGATCTCTTCCCATTCCCCCTTGTTCAACCATAAGTGTCAAGTCATGTCCTATTACAATTCTGCTATATTTTTTTTTAATACACAAAAATTGAACATTGGGGATTTGTTTTGTTTTTTACTTGAACGCTTTAAAAAGTGGGAACTTGTTGCACAGCAGGGTGATATATTCCTGAGTATTCATTTTAAATGTGTGAATAAAATTGCTGCTTTTATAACCTCGATTTTGAAATTATACAGACTATTTTTTTTGGCTATGGATAGAATTACACATTGGCTTATCAAACCAGAGACTCATCCATCCGTCCGTCCGTCCGTCCGTCCGTTCATCCATCCATCCATCCATCCATCCCCTCCTGCAGGCTCAAAGATTGCTTAAGCCTGGTTTGATTTTTAGGGCCAAAAATAAAACTTGATTTTAGCTTGACAATTAATTGCCTTTCTTTTGGGAGGTTACTATTAACAACATATATGTATTCTGAATCTGTGCTGTGTTCAGAGAATAACATCCCATGGGCCAAACGCATTGTCTTCCCTTGGAGATGTCCTGCGGCGGAGAGAACTAGAATGCTGATTTAACCTCAGTTCATCCTTCACCTTGGCTTTAACTCAATGCAAACACTAAAATGAGCTGATTCCAATCAATAGTGCATTGTTATTTATTGAACACCAAGAATGCACAAATATGACCACTCAAGGAACCGTCCTAATGTAGTAATCAAAGCAAATTAATACAGTGAAACCAGACATCTGAGCCTTGGAGGCCTTATCCAAGCAAACCTTCTATGATAGTCACTTGGACTGGCCTGGTGTAATCAGTACATTCAGGAAGCAATTAGGGGTTTCATGCACTTCCCTTTAAAATTAAATACAGGACCTTCCTCTGGCTTCAAACAGACACTGGATGGGCCAACCTAGTATGTGAGAAAGCCATGCCTTGCAACCATTCTAGCACTCTGTATAAGGCACCCTTGTTAACATAGTACCTGGGCCCTCACAATTAGTTTTTAGTGGCTTAATTCTTCCAGCATCCTTGTGAAGTGAAGAAGTAATGTAATCCCTCTTCTCAGGCAGGGAACGAGGTTTAGATAAACCCCAGGAGCTGTCCCAGGGACCACGTGGAAGAGCAGGGTACTGAGCTGGGTGCACTAGTATCCCAGGGCGAGCACAAATACCTCTTAAGCAAAAAGAGTCAAACAGTTTTTGGATTTTAGATCCAAATAATAATAATGATGAGGAAGATGAGGACAAGAAGAAAGATGAGGACGAGGACAAGAAGTAAATATTTACGTACATATATACTATTTTATATAAAAATAATTATTTTTAAGATGTTCATTGAAGAAATTACAGGACTGTTGCTATTTTTAGCTCAAATGATGTCTTCAACCAGAAGTACCTGAGGTACATTCGTTATCCCTGTCTCGTTATGCTTCTCTTCCAGATTTCTCTGCCCTCTAGTGCAGAAGTAATGCTCCGTGATCTCTGTGCTCAATCACCCAGTATGACCAACAACACTCAAAAATAAACTTAACTCATGAACAAGCAATAAACTCAAATTATTCTTTAATGATCTGACTTCCTATTCAAACCACACCCACACAGCCTGGTTGGCACAAGTCAGACTATTAATGTGTGCTTGTGCACAGATGCTCACCGGGAACAAGGGTTCACAAAGTGTGGCCCTCAGAACAAATGCAGGCCCTTTGATGTCCCCCCCACCCAGGACTGCCCCTTTGAAATGGCCTTTTGGGGGGAAAACTTTGGGAACCAGCTGCCCTACAACCTTAATGCTGGCCTGTGACTGGAAATTTCTTGAGCGCTCACAACTGCATGCTTGAAGAAGATCGTATCCATACATTTTTTATTCTGCTCTTTATTTATCAAGCAAAACCTCACAATAAAAACCCCATTGTGTGAACATTTATTAATAAGTAAGACAGCTGCAGAAATCAGGGCAGGTGTATGGATGACTGGCTCACCGAGGAAAGGACTCTAAATGCATAATGAATATGGATTCTAATGAAAAGTTCCCCCTACACCTATGGGCATCCATCTATTTGGTCATTACTTTGATAGATTTTTAAGGAGTTAAGCAGATGTTGCTGGTAGTACAGATGTTTTCCTGTGTGTTATTTCAGCCTTCACAGTAATCTGCCCTGTAACATGGATTATGGTGAGAAGTGACTGGATTATTTGATCTGAAGAATGCAGATTTTAAATGAAAAAGAAGTAAATGTTTAATCGAGAAAATATCAAAACAAAGTATTTCAAATAATTTTATTTAAAAAAAAATGAACTTCCCTTGTGTTTCCTTTTAAATCATGGACAAATATTTTAAACTGAAATAAAACATTTAATTGGGAGTCAGATTTTTTTTTTTTTAGGAAAACTTTAATTTTCACTAAGAAATTTTTCTCATTTTATGGAATGACCAAGAATGTGGAAGACAAACCCCCCTACCCCACTCCTACTCCCCAAAATTGCCAGCAGCTAAAAAGTTTGTTAATCATACAATTCGAATTAGGATACCTTCAAATATATACATTCTCACCTTATTTAATATGGACTGCATCAGCATAGTTTAGCTAACCACCACCTTAGTACCTTGAGGTCTTTCTATAAGGGTTTCATTTATACAAAAAGATCATTTTGAGTGATTTGCTTCTTTATGCTTGCCTCAGAAACTGAAAGGGGAACACAATTGATCGCAGACAATTATTTCAATGTAACAAAGGACCAGTCACAGTAAACAGAATGAAAAAAGACCCTTCCCTCTGTGTTCAAGATAAAAGACCCTGCATGCACATATTGTGGGCATGTATGTAGACTCAAGGGAAAAATAAGAAATCAAGAAATTTATTTTTTTGAATATAGTCTGATAAAGATCCCTAAGAAACACAGAGGTTTACAAGGCCATAGGACCCTGCACGAATCTCTATTAAAAATGTACTTCCCAAAGATAGTTTTAATGTCTTTGTTTCATTCAAAGAATATTTGGGCAGCATCTACACATTGGTTTTAGACAACCATTTAGTATTTCCAAAAAAATTAGCAATTGAGTCTTTTTTTCCCCCTACTCCAGTATTTTCTGGGTTCCAGATCTACCCCCAGATCAGTGAACACAGATGTAGCTCTACGTGCGCTGTCTCTGGTCAATGTTCACAAGATAGATACAGGTGATGGGAGGGAGCCAAAAGCATAACAGATTGCTACTGTGCAATGTTTTTTAAATGATCCAATTTTGCTCCCTCCAATCTCTCACAAGGTCACTCTAGCTAGCATATATGAATGGAGAAACTCTCATAAATCTGGGTACCCCATTCCTATCCCACCAGGGGAAAGTTCAGGATTAAGTATACCCCCTATCTATAAAAAACCAACACAAAACAAAACAAAAAACCAAAAAAACACGGTTTAAGTTTTGAACTTTTTTTCCCAAATCAGGGGTGACAAAAAGCAGGGGACCTGAAGAAGCTAGGAGTACAGAATGCTTTTCTTCATTTGATAAAGGCGGTGGTCTAGGCTATATATATGCAAGTCAGGCATGAAAATGTGTTCATTCATTTTTCATCTGGTAATGTTTTTGAAATGCTCAGGCTTAAAACTGGCTTCAGGTGAAAGTAATGATGATTGTTCACGACTTGCTTCATGGAGAGTAAGAGTGATGAAACAACCCAATCAAAGGCAAGTCCCATTTGAAGTTAAAAAACACAACAACAACGAAACCCCCCAAAAAACAAACAATGCTAATCCTGGTTCTTGGGTAGCAAGAACTGGACTGCTAAACTGGAGAAAGACTTTGATTTACAAAGTCTTTTAGCCTGACGAAGGGTTTTTGACCCCAAAAGCTTGCTTAATAACTATTCTCCAACCATTTGGGTTGGTCTAATAAAAGATATCAGATTCACCCAAGGAACCTTGATTTACAAACACATTTCTTTAAGCTCATGGGTGTTGGGGAAGCCTCCCAAATACCAACCATACACAGAAATACATTGTTAGTGACCCTACAATCCCCCAGCCAGGATTTAACCTACCGAGAAAGGTTTGGTCCTTCCTGAATCGTACCTGGACACTTCATGAAAAATGTAGACACCTGCTCCATAAATGGAGATTCAAAGAGAGTCCGGGTTGCAATTGTGCCGTGATTTGTACAGGCGGTTCAACACATTGCGAACAATTGCCCAATTAGATCATTTAATGATGATGTAAAAATCAATCCAGGCAGCTACCCCTGAAGCAGTCAAATGGCTATCGAATTTAGATATTAATCTATGAACGTTGTAATCCTAAAATGTCATGCGAAAGAGAGAAAGTTATATCTGTGATGGTCTAAGGACATAGGCGGACAAGGCTCCTTGCATAAATGTGATTTCTTTAAATTCATTGCAGTCAGGCTGCATTCACCCAGGGATGTCATGGCTGTCCTTGTCTTACATGCCACAGGTACACGAAACTTCAGAGAAACAACAGAGCTAGAATTGCTTCTCTCTTGTCTTCTCCTCTCCCATGGTTTAATCCAGAAATATTCTCTTAAACATCAGTAGACAGCTTGTGGCCTTGAAGTTATGCACATGCAAGACCCCAAAACTGACGCCCTTGCACATCAAGATAAGATGCTCCTCTGTTACAGAAGTTGCCGGCAATATAAGGGATGCAAGTCATGTTCTGACTTGCTCCAGAATGCAGCAGGAGGGAAAGTTGTGCCTTTGCCAGTTTATTACACTATTAGTAGGGAGTGCCCTTTTTTGAATCGTTTTACTACACGAACAACCCTGGTAATTGATACCAAGCTACAGAGGAAGACACAGGAGGTCAGCATCAGGACAGCAAAGCTACAGGCAGTCGATTGTTATGAGGAGGAAAAAAAAAAAAAAAACTTTAACTGTGTTCAAAGTTCAGATTAGCACATCGCTGCGTTGTCACAAAGAGGAAGTAGCTGGAGTCTATTGATGAATTACAGACGAGGCTCATTTTTTCTCAAAGGTGACACCGTCTTACAAGCCAAGGAATTGACAAGGAGAAATACGGCTCCTGACAGCAGTGATGAGGAAACGTGTGTTTGAATTGATTGTTGCCTCACCTCTAGGGATCTGCAGAACGGACCTCCTTTCCTTTGCGGCACAGGTAACATGTAGTTCATATCCAAGCCCAGGTTATCTAAAGCTCATCTTTGGGGCTTCATAACTCAGTGCCAAGAAGTTGGACATTGAGTAACACGTGGGATTCCTCTAAAAGGCAGTACTCAGCAACTTTCTATCTCCTGCTTCTCGCTCCCCCAGGAGGCCTCTAAATCACCATAATAACCTCAACTTCCCACGGGCAAAAAAATAGAGAGTCAATACGGCAGGACATTGACAGTGCCCTCATCCTTCTGCTTTACCTGGGGCAAGTTTGGGGTGTTTTTGGTGGTCCAGGACATGTGCCTAGTTGTATACACAAGTTTTTCATGAAGTTTTTAGGAACAGGTTAGATAAACACTCGTCTAAGATGGCAGCACAGCAAAAACGATTGTTCTGTTGTACTGATTAGGCAATGCGCAATTGCTTTTCACTCCTCCATGCACACATTGTCATCAGGAAGATTTAAAGCTTGGCACAAGAGAGACTGAAATATTAATATATTTGCATATTGGAAATTAGAAACTTGTTCTGGCTTCTAAAGGTGCATTTCATGGATTCAAAGACTGCAATACTGAAGACTATGGGACCAGTTTCGGTTCCAGCTATTATGCATCTCAGCATCACTTAAGCACCCAAGTATGATCCTAATCCACCTCTTATGGCGCTATAAAGAAAATATTAGCCTTTCTACTTTGTAATAACCCTTCGTCTTATCCTAAAACCAAGTAAAAAAGGGTCAAGGGGGAAAAAAAAATGACAACCTCCCCTTTGCTTTAATGATTTGACAGGGAGTCTACCACTGTGGGATAGGACTGTACTTCAACATTTAGGTGCATACATACCATTTGGATACCAAATAGATAAAAAGGACCTGGACAAGTACACAAATTGCAAGCAATAGCTTAAAGCAGTTGTTTTCAACCTCCGATCCATGGACCCCCGGGGTCCACAGACTATGTCTAAGGGGTATGCGAAAGATGACTATGATCAATCAAAGGTATGTGAATACCTACACTTCCCATCCAAAGGGGTCCACACCTCCATTTGACATTTTTTTAGGTACCCTCAAATGAAAAGGTGAAAATCCACAATCTTAAAGGTTTAGGGGCAAATTAATCTGTGGATCCTGTGTAAATATATATATATATCCCACATGTTAGAAATGTTAATGGCTAAAGCAATGCTAATTTAAGACCATTTCTACAACAGGTCTCCTAAACGAATCATCTAATGTTGTCATGATGAAAAGACTAGTGTCACAATGACACTTAGATGAACATTGCAAAAAGCATCTGAGTAACCTACCAAGTGATTAAATGCATCAGTTTATCGCGAGGTTCACTAAAATGTTTCTCTCCTGACTTTAGAATTTTTCACCGCTTCAAATTTAGCACTATTACACTGAATAATCAATACTGGTTTTACTATAAATATCACACATAAAGCTTGATTTTATTTTTCCCCCACCCACTTTGCATTGCAGCAAAATACCCTTTTCCGGAAGGAGCCAATCAAAATCTAATGCAGTGAAGTCTGCAGAATCCCATCTCCAAGCAAAGTCAACAGGTATGTAAGGCACTCTATAGCTTGCAGGAATTACTCAGGCCTCACATGATCAGAGCCTTCTTAATGGGAAATTATTCACTCTCCATCAACTAAATTATTCAATGAATTTCATGAAAAGGTTCAAACATCTGTGAATAATACATTTTTATTATTCACACACTCTGGTATTCATCACCTTCAACCTTGTTTAAAATAAAATACTTTGTTTTAAGTCCATAAAAATGGATATAATCTAATGTCAGTACAATGCAGACAGAGCAATGTTTTGAAAATGTAATACTTTTTTTTTTTTCCCCCTTCTGTCACAGACTTCCAAGGCAATATGCCCAACCTCCAGGGTCACAAATAAAATGCGATGAATTCAGAAACACGAGCATTCACTGGCTGTCTTTCTTAACAGTTGAACATAAACCCAAGACATTTTGTACCTTTTGGATATTGCGATCAGTGCAGGAACTAAACTCAGTACTAATGACATCACCTTAAAGCAATGATTTAATGACTCAGAAGGAAATTCACCTCTTACCACCTTTTTACTTCGGGAGCCAATTTTGACTTAAATCTAAATTGTGAAGCTTTCTTGTTGGTGCCAGAATTATGATTCAGATCACTGCAGTACCTGTATGATAAATGGCCTTTGATTCTCCCTGGTCAAAAAAATGTAAGCTTTATTCTTTCATATTCCAGGCAGTTACAAGACCAGTCTAGATGTGAACTTCTGGTGAGGGAAGAGATGTCCAAGAGAGGTCGTTGCTGGGGTTGTTTGACCCCCAGTACTCTTTCCTGCCATGGCAGGGGGTTGGACTAGATGATCTGCCCTGGTCCCTTCCGACCCTAGAAACTATGAAACTATGAGAGGGCTTTGGTGGAGCACTGGGTGTCAATGCAGATGGCTCTCCACCTGGAGCCAATCGTTTATGGCAGGGCCGCCCAACCACAAAGCAGCCGGGGGCTGAACGTGGGACAGGTCATGGGCCCCGAGGCACAAAACACAGGTTGCATGCTGCTGCCCGGAGCCCCTACTGTGTGCAGTCCCTCCACCAGCACGAGCCTCCCCGCTGCCTCCACTGTACAGGTGAGTCCCCCCAAACCAGGCTACTTTGCAACCGATGCAAGACTCCACTCTCCTCTCCCACTGTACGAGGCCCAGCACCACCACCACCATGTGGGAGATGCTCTAAGCAACTTGCTATTTATATGTGGGCTGGGTGAGACCCCCATCCAAGCCCCAGCCCCATGTTTTGGCCCCCCATCAACACTGTCACATAGGCAGCAAGCTTCTGCTGTAGGCAGACCCCGTCTGCAGCAGCCACAGCAATGGGAGCAGCGATGGCCAGGTGACAGCCCAGGGGCCTCATGTTAACCCATGTTAATATGTTAACCCATGTTAATGCCCATGGGCCACCAGCTGAATGGTCCTGTTCTGGTGGATACAACACTCAACCTACTCTGGAAGGCATTAAGTAATAAAGGGGAAAGCAAGATGCAATAAAGATGAGCATATTTAAGCACAGAACCTAGGTCAACAGGGGCTAACCGTTTTGGCAGATGGGCCACCAGGTAAGCCCCGCACCCTTCCCAAGTGCCACTCTAATCCTCTTTCAGTGCCCAATCAGTTGTTCTTTTTTTTTTGCATCCTGTTTAATCAGCTGCTCTGCTTTGCTATTCCCTGCTCTGTGTTCCCTCTTCCCTCTTCAATCTGCTGTGCCCCACAGAGAAACTCTCTGTGACACTGGTAGCTCCCATGCCACATCTGGGCTACACCTGCTCTAGTCATCACAAATAAAATTAAAATCACTAATGAACTTAGGAGAGCCGAATTGTAGGAAAGTAGGGCTAGAAGGGACCTCACAAAGTCATCTAATCCAGCTCCCTGCTCAAGGCAGGATCATCCCCAACTAGACCACCCCAGGCAAGTGTTTGTCCAACCTGCTCTTGAGCATTTCCTGGGACAGAGTCCACAACTTGCCCAGGCAGCCTCTTCCAATATTTGACCATTTTCACAGTCAAGAAGTTTCTTCTCATCTCCAACTTATATTTCCTCTGCTGCAGCTTGAGGCCATTGCTCCTATCTCTGTCACTGACAGTCACAGAGAAAAGCCCATCTCTGTCCTCTCTATAATTGTCCTTCAAGTATCATTTGATAACAGTCTTTCCTTCTCCAAACTTTTTTTTTTTTAAGCCTTTCCTCATATATCATGCTTCCCAGGTTTGTTATCAATTTTATTGTTCTCCACTGGACTCTCTCCAAACCGTCCACATCCTTGTTGAAGTGCAAGTTTCAAAACTGGATGCAGGACTGTAGGTGAGGCCTCCCCCGTTCTGATAAGAGCAGAAGAATCGCTCCCCTTGATTTGCAAGTAATACAGCCCAGGCTGTTGTTGGCTTTTTTGGCAAACAAGAGCACACTGCTGGCTCATTCAGCTCATAATCCACTGCAGACCTCAAACCCTTCTCTTCAGAACTAGACGGTCTTGCCCCAGTTTGCATTTATTCAGTCCCAGGTGCAGGACTTTGCATTTGTCTTTGCTGAATCTCATCTGACTGGTTTCAGGCTATTTCTCCAGTCTGTTCAGGTCATTCTGGTTCCTAACCCTACCCCCTTCAGAGTGTTTACAACTTCACCCAACTTGTTTCATTTGCGAATCTGCTATGCATGCACTCAATCCCATCATGAAAATCATTCATACAACATAAAACCAGACCCAGAATAGACCTCTGGGAACCCCAACTTGTTATCTCCCCACAACTAGACATTGAGCCATTGAGGACTACTCATTGACAATGATGATCCAACCCCATACGTATCCATCTTAGACTATTTTTGCTTAGATTTTTTCCCCTTAGTTTGTTAATGCGAATGTTGTCCAAAGCCATGCTAAAGTCAAGGAATATCCTATCCACTGCTTGGACCCATCCACAGGGCCTGTCACTTGGGTATAGAAGGAAACCAAGTCCATCAGGTGAACCCATGCTGGCTATTCCTGATCGCCCTGTTCTGCTCTAGGTGCTTCCCAACAGATTCCTTGAGAATCTGCTCCATGATCTTTTCAGGTATTGAGGCCAGGGTGACTGGTCTGTAATTCCTCCTTTTCCTTTCTTAAATATCCCTGCTTTTCAAATCATCCAGGACCACACCTGGCACCCACAACTTCTTGAAGAGGGTTAGCCAATGGCTCTGAAATCACCTCAGCCAATTGCTTCAGTGCCCAGAGTGCATCCCGTCTGACTCTGTAGACGTGTAATCATCAAGTTTCTCTGAGTAACCCCTACTCTCTTCTTCTGTTACTACAAGCTGTCTTTCTCCTTCCCTGTCTTTGCTACTAACTACTCATCAGCTGTTTTCTGCCCCGATTTACAAAAAGTGATGTAAAAAAAGGCATTCAATACTTCAGCCTCCTCTGCACCATACTTCACTAGATTGCCTTCTGCACTCCATAAGGAATCTACATGTTCTTTGGTCTTCCTCTTACTTTTGACATGCTTGTAGACTCCCTTTTTCTTGGCTTCCATGTTCCTCAGCAGTTACACCACAAATTGCACCTTGGCCTTCTTATAAAGCCCATGCAATACTTTTAAACTCTTCCCCAGTACTATAACCAAGTTTCCACTTGTTGTAGGATTATTTTTGGAATTACAACTCCTTGAAGAGGTTGTTGTCTAACCAAGCTGGTCTCCTGTCACACTTCTCCTTCTTCTGTCTCATCAGGATAGCTTGCTTTGCACTCTTAACGTGGCTTTATTTTACGTACAGCCAGGTCTCCTGGACTCCTTTTCCCCTCTGACTTGCCTCCCAGGGGATCCTGCCCACCAGTCCCTTGAGTTTTCTGGTCTGCTCTTCGGAAGTCCAGTGTCCTTTTTTCTGTTGCTCTCCTTCAAGATCCCCTTAGGATGTTGAAATCTTATAATTTCACCGTCACTGCAATGCAAGCTACCTTCTACCTGTGCATTCTCAACCAGTTTCTTCCTGTTTGTGAGCAGCAACTCCAGAAGAGCTTCCTCCCGAGTTGGCCTCTCTACCACCTGTACCAAAAAAGTTATCCCCAACACACTGCAAGAATCTGCCCAACTGGCTGTGTATTGCTGTGTTTCCCTCCCAGCCAATGTCATGGTCATTTAAGTCCCCCATAACAACCAGGTCCTGAGATCTGGAAACTTCTGTCACTCATTTGAAGAAGGCCTCATCCTCCTCTTGCTCCAGGTTGGGTGACCTAGAGCCGTGGCCTACCATGACATTCCCTCTCCTGCTCTCCTCTCTGGCCTTTAATCTGTGGCTTTCAACGGGCCTACCTTCTACTTTGTACCGCATCTCAGAACTTGTGTACATCTCCTTCATGTTGGTGGCAACATCTCCTCCTTTTATCCCCCTGCCTGTCCTTTCTGAACAAGTTATACCTATCCATGTCTACCTCATTCCAGTCATGCGAGCTATCCCACCATGTTTCCATATCACATCAAAATTCCTCAATTGTACTAAGAGCTCCATTTTTTCCCCCTGTTTAATCCTCATAATTTTCACATCGGCGTATAAACATTTTAGATATTTAACTTACTGTCCTATTTTCTCCCAGAGAACACATATAAGGCTTCTGCTATTGCCTCCCCTTAGGATGACCATATGTTCTGGATTGCCTGGGATAATCCCAGGTTTTGGAGGTTGTCTCAGTGCCCCAGCCCTTGGAGTAAATTAAAGCAAAAATTCCAGATTGGTAAAAAGCCATCCACATGTGCCTGGCTCCCAAGGTGGGTATGGGTTCATGCCAATCTGGGATTTATGCTTAATTTTTTTTTTTTCAAGCAGGCCAGCCAATGGACTTCTCCCTAGTCCAGACTCTGGTGGGTTGGGAGTGGAGGCACTTGCACAGTAGAGTTGGGGTGGGGGGCAAAGAGCCACAGGGTTGTATGTGTGTTGGGGGGGGAGATGGGGGTGTGCATGCAGGCTGCCCTGTCCTGCCTGGCCCCACACTTGGGAGCTGCAAGGGCAGGGGTGGGGGGCGGGGAAGTGCAAGCAATCCTACATCCCAGATTCCCCTCAAATTATTAAGGTCAGCCTACCTCTCCTTAGTGAGTTTTTCATCCAAGTCCCCTGACTCTTTACTTACCTCTGCACTTATGTCTCCACTCCTTGTTTAAAACCCTCCTTACATGGAGGAGAGACTCTTTAACTGGATATAAGCTCATGGTACAAGTTTTGGTGAAAAACAAGAGAAATCAAAATTCCTCGTTTAGTAGTAAGAATTTAACTGAATTTATACAAGTGAAACCTGATCAGAGAATTCACATGGAACACGTTAAACCTGCTAGTCATGACCTATGTAAGGAAGCAATAAGTGAGAAAGGGACTCTATGAAACGTGGCACCATCTATTTCCAAGTCACTGACAGCTCAGAAGTAATGATCTTGAATTCTTGTGGGTCATTGTTCTGACTGATAAAAAGCTCTGGTCGGGGTAATAGCTTGGGCCTACTGCAGACGATCAAATTGGAAGAAAGAACAGGACAAC